ATAGTTAGCTTTTTAAAGGTTTATTAGTATCTCAGATCCATTAGCCTTCTTTTGCTCTAATTTCATGTGTTTTATTTAAGTAGCCTCTTTAATTGTATCCATGTATTATCATCGTAGTGATAAAGGCAGGAACTTGATGCCATAAGTCATACGAAGATGCTTGTTTTCACCGATAAAGTGCTGACAACTTCCTAATGTATTTTTATTGCTATATTTTTTTTATCGAAGTGCCCACACCTAGCTTATTCTCCATTTTTTATTAGTTTTTATTTCTATGATCTTTTTTGGACTTGTAAGCACGAAAAAAATAGAGCATACACAATATATTCTTATATGCTACATGTTACAGCTACTCTTTTTATAACTTTAAGGAAGCTTTTTTTTCTATCACTTATTGCATTAGGGAAAGAAATATTTTGAAGGCGACACTGTGTGAGAGAAACAGAATATGAATTCTACAGAGAATGTTATTACTATGTCGATGAAAGTGATGGTTTTATAGCGTACTAAAAATGGTATAGTCGGGACTTTTCACCATTGATAGAACGTATATGAATGAATTTTTTATGTTTTTCAATATTATTTTTAATGGAAAATTGTTGAGTTTTATTCAAGTACAATTTTATGCTGTATTTGTGGTTTTTCTCTCAAGTTTTTCTTCCATTCTCACCATCTACCTCGTCTTCCTTTAATTTTTTTCTATCATCATTACCGTTATCGTTCCTATATCTACGTTTCTTCGGTTCTCATCTTGAATACATCTCATTAAAGATTATTGCAAATTGTTATTCGATGATGTTATTTTTCTCTATTTTGCCTTATTTTTTTATAAACATTGCCATTTCGTTCTGCATTTTTGGCATTGTGGCTTGTTTTGATGTGTGAACTATATAGTTTCTCTGATCTTTTTGTGTTATTTCAATCAGTGTTGCATTCTAGCAAGTTGTCTGGCTCAGGCAAATTCTGACACAGATCTTTCTTTGTATAGATCAATTCTACATGTAAATAAAAAAACAAAATCTTTCATATATTTCGACTTCATAAAGATTGTGTCTGCGTTACATATTCTAGGAAATAATCTACATTCTTCCTCTAGTGTAGACATCTACATTTGCAACACTGATTTTCAATAGAATTTTTAATAATATTGGAGCCTCGACGTTTTTTTAAGGATTTTTGCTTAACGAAAAAAAATAATTTGAATTTTTCACTAACACTATCATAAAAAACATCAAAAATTAAATTCTCAAAATTCTTAATTATTCAATCATTAATCTCAAATATTATGATTTGAATACAACAAGTATATGATACATTAGCTGTTCTGACTATTTAAAGAGCTTTTACATCATTATTGAGTGATATTTTCGTGACTTTTCAAATTTCATTTTCGATTTTGTTTGTAAACAAACAAATTACAACCAAAAAAATTCAAAAATTTAAAACCGTTTAAAAAAACTTAACTTAATTATGTTCATTTAGGAGTGTTTTGTATTTTCCCGAAAAGCAAAATAACGAATAACCGTTATTACGAATTACAAATTTACGAATGTTCATTTTTACGAAAATTTTTATGGTAAAAACTTATAGGATATAATTTGAATCTCAAAAAACCGTTGGTTAAATCAAACATTAAAAGACAATTTACATCAATTTCATCATTTAAATGCGAATAGATATGATATAATAATTATTATAAGATGAAGGATTAATAGAACTACAAAAAGAATTGCATTTATTTAAATGTGTAATATTTTTTCTTGTTTTATGAGTAATTCCATGAGAAAATTTTATAGCAAAATAAAAATTTTATAGAAAAAATATTTCACATTTAAATAAATGCAAATCTTTTTTTCAGTTCTATTAATCCTTTATCTTTTAATAATTATTTTATCATATCTAATCGCATTTAAATGATTAAATTACTTTTAACTGTCTCAATATTTGATTTTATCCAACGGTTTTTTGAGATTCAAATTATATCCTATAAGTTTTTACCATAAAAATTTTCGTAAAAATGAACATTCGTAAATTTGAAAATTCGTAAAAATTGTTTTTCGTTATTTTGCTTTTCGGGAAAATACAAAACACTCTTCATTTAGGTATGTTAATGCAGCAATTTTAAATTTTTTATAAACTCAAAAAGAACAGAATTGAATTTCGCACATAAAAAAATTCATTTGGTCATATATCAATAAACATTAATGAAAATATAGCAAAATTCCCAAAAATTGTACGTGAGTGACGCTTAATTAAAGTGATTGTTTTAAGCAACTATAAAGTTTCAAGAAGTGAATTGTACAACAATAGATGGGGATTTTAATTCTCTTTTCAAAAAAGTAACTCTTAAATTTGTCACTTTGAAGGATAAGGAGATATTCAAGAATAACAAAGCGTCACTCACGTACAATTTATTTGTGACGAAAACCATTGAATTTTAAAGACTGAAATCTTCTTTTCATATTTTATAAATATTTCTGCTTCTTTGAACATTTTCTGCGTCAATTGATGCGAAATTTTAAAATGAGCGCTTTTTCCAACTACAAGTCAGTTCAATTACACCTTCTAAAACTCTGTTTTTCTTCATTGTACCACCAAGTTCCCTCATTCTTTCATTCATTCCTGAACAACTTGTGAAAGCAATCTGCCTCAAAAGAATACATAATACCCACACATCTAAAAGCGACTTTTGTTATTGAATAACAATCTCAAGAAGGATCGAAACTAAATATAGAAAGAAATCAAAATGAGGATGAGATAATAGTTTTATAGCATCATGTAGACCTTAAAAAAAGTAAGTTAAACTTAATGTGATGATGAGACATTTATGATGGAATTTTCTCGCCTCGAAAAACAGCCTTCGATTGATTATTACACACATTATCACGATCATTACTGATTTCAATGTCTATAGATTTGCTCTATCACTCATCCATATATGAATTTATTATTGCAAAGTTATTTCCTCCACACAAATTGACTGCTATTATTTTCAGTCAGAATAACAGAGATGGATGGAATGAGGCGACGAAAACTCACGAGGCAAAACGTGATGACAAAAGGCAACATCGAGAAGAGAGCAAGAAAGAAAAAATCGAAAAGTAATTTTTTATGATAATTTTCCAAAGATATGAGTCAGATAGAGAAATATACATTAATATTATGTATTACCGATGGAGATGAAATGAAATCATTCGATAGGAACGGCTCATTATTTACATTATCAGACGATTTATTGCGGCACATACGGCAGTAGATAAGTTCCAACGTAAAAATGACATTTAATGTTTTTTTTTTCTTGTTTAAGAATTCGATTTTATGTGCAAATTAGACTACTGGTTGGGTGGTCGACTGACTGATGTCTAGACCAGACAAATGCTTGAGTTATTTTGATATTTATAGAAATTAATCGAGGGAGTTTTGCTTAGCTTTTGCTCTATCTTAGGGGAAAAGAAGAGTCAAAAGCTTTGTGCTGTTTTGTGACATTAGGGATTTTGAGCTATTTGAGAAAGAATTTCGAAATTTTTACATCGTGCTGGATATATTAGTAAATTTTATGCAATCTCCAGAATAAAATATTAATCATCACTGTTGAGTCACAATTAATCGACAACAATTAAGATTTCGTTTGATAAAAAAGATTAAAACAGCAATTTAACATCCCGAGCAGCATAACGCTAGTAATTTCGTTTATAATTGTGTTATTGGCACCAAAACTTACATAACAAGTAGATTTTATTAAAACTTGTTTTAATTTTGTCAAGATGAAGCCATTTTTGACAATGCACAGCTCGGGAATGTAACCTGACTTTGAAAAATGTTAATTATATATTGTGTTGATGACTAAATAGCTAATTATCTCTCATTTTGACGTTAGTGTTTATATTAATTCTGTATATATATATATATAAATTCTCAACAATTACTTCGAGAAATAAAAAACTTTATTCATTATGATGAATTTAAGGCTAACATTAAACGTAATCAGACCTAATCAGTAAAGCGAATTCTGTTCTTTGACTGCATGCTCCAGTTTGATCATAAAAAATGCGAATAAAACAATATTTTACGGTTTTTGCCGTTAGGGAATGTCGAACGTGACAGAATGAATCAAAATTAAGCGTGATTCGAGCAATAAAAAAGGCAGAGATGCAAGAATGACTCAAAAATGTCGAATCGAATTTGAGAAAGAATCATTCTTATGAAGCTTTAGTTATTGACATTTCGGGGTTTATGGCACATTAGAATCATTGAGATTGAAGATTAGATCTGTTGTGGATGCAACGGTGTGACGTGGAATATAGATTAAGAAGTTTAAAGAAACTGTTTAGATCCAGAAATCTGTCGAGACATGTTTGAACGGAAATTTTGACCTAGACTTTAAGTAAATCAACAGTTAAACTAAAATCAAAACTATCCAATGACTAAAATGCGCCATTAATTAAACAAATCATCAGCAAATCTCCACAACCAGATGTTTTTGAGTTGTAAACATTAAAGTCGAATAAATAAAAAAAAAATCATGTGAATGAATTAAGAGCAAATTACGTTTTAAGAATCATAAGTTAATGAGGAAAGAAGCAAGTGTGTTCGTTGTCTTGACATTGAAATAGTGCATCTTTAAATGATCTAATTCCGTCAACAATCACATTCATAGATTTTAAATTAATGTTGCATGTGTATGAGATTCTCAAAAGTCAAATTCATATTTCAACAGTTCCGCGAGAAGCTTTTTTACTTTTCAAAAGAAAATCTAGAAAGAAAAATGAATTTCTCGACTGACTTTTTCCATCAAAAAACTGTTTTTTTTTTCTTTTGCTATTCACACGAGAGCATTCACAGTCGTCACATTTGTGTGCGCACACAAATAAACAGAGAGCGAGCAGGCATAATACTATCACAGAACTGCACATTTTCTCTCAATATACTCCACATGATTCTCCAAAACAATTTTTGCTGTGCTTCCTTCTCTGTTACGAATCAACTCAGTTTGAATTAAATCGTTGTCAAGAGTGGATCGAATGAATTTTTCTCTGACAGTCTCAAAAAAGCTGTTCTGTGTTGTATGTTGTACTTCGTAAGTCAGTCACATTGAATCGCTCAGACAGTTTTGAATGTTAATTATCACGTTTAAATCAGTGGATTTTTACTTTTTTACACAAATATAATTTTTTTTATTCATCATTAAATACAGCTTTGGAGAAGCAATACATAAATAATACTTTATAAGAGAATCTGTGGAACGTGTATTATATAAAATAATAAGAAATCAAGTGCTGTGTTGTGAAATATTTACTGAGAAAAAAAGAAGATAATTAATTTCTCAAAAAAATAGATAAAAGAAAAAGAAGTGAAAAAAGAAAAAAATATTTTTGAAGCAGAAAAACAAAAACTCGAGACACGCAAGTAAGTGCTCGCTGTGTAATTCTAATTTACATTTTTTTTTGCCAAGACAGAGAAAGAAAAATATCAAAAATAGATATTTATTTTTATTATGTTTGTTTTTTGCCATCAAAATTGGTGTTGACGCCATCGAAATGTTCCGCGATACATTCGCACAAAATTGAATTTTAATATTCTATTGGAAGCATATATAGAACGATGGTTAGACACAATAAAATTGTGAATAATTGAAATGAAAGTTTTTGTTGAACTTGAATGTCATATCAAGCGATGCTTTCATGTTTTAATTTGTGTGCAAGTTGTTGATTCCGCGTTAAGCTATTCGACTTGACATTCATGACATCATATTGCTTTAGTCGGGAAAAAAATTGAATATTTTTAAGCTATACAGCTGAAACTATTTGCAAATGTATTGTATGCCTTTGAACGGCATAAATGGATTGATACAAGTATTGACCGGTTTTTGTTTCCCTTTTTATGTTTTAATATTTTTATATCCACAAGAGGCATTTTGACGACAGAAGTGAGCTTATAACTTCCATTTGTATCATCAGCTGATAAGCTGGATTACTAGCTTATTCATGTCTCAAGAGAGATGCTTCATATTGACTCAAAAACTCATGAATTTTCTACAAGCTCTATCGCAGGTGAAATTTTCATAATTCTTTGAAAGGAAGCGCCGTTCTGTATTTGCAAATATTTAGCGAAATTAATCGTTGTTTCTCTTTTTTTGTGCTGTTTGTTACTTTAAGAATGTTTTCTTGGTAATAATTAACAACAAACACCTTGAATAATCAATTTGTGCTAAATAAATTAACCTTCAGAAATTATTGGAATTTATAACAAAATTGTTGTGGTTTTAAAATTCATTTGATGCTTATTCGACAGCCAATTATAAATATGATGTTACATGTTATGATTTAATTAAAAAATTAAAAATAATTTAATAAGTTCATATGAAGAGTTACAAAATAAGTAAAAATATTATTGTAGGAAAAAATGTTTATTTTTAGACGAGATTTAATGTGAATATGATTATAAAGTAGATTGTAGACTTACATTTTCAATTACTCAGGTCAATCTATTGAAGTAAATGATTAACCAATTTGACATTGAAATAAATTAAAGATGCGAATTAAAGATGCGAAAAATTTGATTTTTTAAAAGCCGTTCAATTAAAAATCATTTCTTTTGCTAATTTAAAGATCAAAAGTCATTTGATGCTGAACTTTGGATGATCATCAACCTACAGCGTAATACAAATAAATTAATTGACCAATTAACTGATTATAACCATAAAACGTAATTTATAAAAATTTAAATAATATTCTTCATCAGAATAATTTCTGTTATCAGCAATCGCGGGTTATCAACAATTTTTGCCCTTATATTTCTCAAACCAGCATGTTCACATGTCTATTTAAAAATAGTTGAAGAAAGAACCCTTAACAGTCTATCATTCTTATCTATTCTATATGCACTAAACGTTAAGTTCGCTTAAATGTTTGGATGATTATGAAAAATGGATTTTTTTTCGTTTTTTTTATATTCCTCGACATTATGTCCCCATTGTTTGTGATCCTTCATATTTTCTGTACTGTCATTGACAATGAACAAATAACTTTGTGCCAATTGTTATGTTAGTTCATGGTTTAATTTACCGTAGAAATATGGACACAATAGGTGTTCTTTCCGATGCCTTGTTTGTCATAATTAATGAACGTGATAATGGCAAAAGGTAGAAATAAAATATTTCATAATTCACTCCCCTCCCCCTCTGCACCCCACCTTCGCCTGTGGTCACACATAGCAAAAAATAAATTTTTCACACTAAATTAATGATTTTCATAATTTTTATATATATTTTTTTTGAATCATAAAACACATTTACCCCTCCCCAGCTGGACACACCGCTTTGCCTTGTGTCTTTTCTATTGTTGTATGGTAATAAAAAAGCTAAAGCCATTGAATATAATTTAGATAAATATAAATGTCCAATGCAAAATAAATTGCTTTGATAGTCAAACATGCATGGACATTGGATACGTTTCGTGCAACTAGCGTGAAAAAAAAAGAGGAAAAGGTATTTAAATGTTAATATGTAGCATAGATGTATATGCATAAAAAATTTTAATTTTTATATCATTCAGTAATAGAAATAATGCCGCATTCAAAAATTCTCTTTTTGAATTTTTTTACCATCAATTCAAGTGTATAAATATTTATAATTCTATATATCCTCGGTTCCTTTATACACACATTTTTACTGCGAGAATGAACATGTACTAATAATTTTTTGGGGCCTGTGTATGACATTTCGATGGAATAAAGTTTTTGAGTAACAAATTATGACTTCGTGATGTAAATTTTCTTTCTTCGCTTATTTTTCGAGAGGAAATTAAGTCAGCCAGCTTTTCAAAAAGGAAGTTTTTATTTTGAATGAGCTTATTGTACATGAGCGATCTAAAGCTTGGGGAAAATATCCTTAATTTCGCTTATGATACTGTTATGCTTAATGCCATTTCTATGTTATTAGGGATTCTCTTTACTACACAATTCTTATTCCAATTCACAGCTTGCTGTATCTTGTAATTTGTTTGTCAGTTAGGATTACGATTGAATGAAAAAGATTTACTCTGATTTCTTAGAATTATTTGATTAATTGCTAGTCATGGTAATTAGATAAAAGTCTATCAGAGCTTACTCTTTCGGATAAAATTTGATTTCTTTAGCAGTAACTTTTTGTTCATTGATAACTTTTTCCATGGATGTGCCGCGAGCAAATTTGTCGTTTTTTGACAATACACTTATTATTCTGCTTCAATTGATGCAAAATTAATTGCTTCTTATGATGCAACAATATAATTTAATAGCTTTGATTCAATTATGAGTTACAATGATGCGAACACTTGCTTCAATGACGCGGACTATTGCTTCAACTAACGCAAACACTTGACTCAATGATGCAAAGAATTTTAAATCGATCAATGTTAAATTATTCGGAGTTTTCATATTTTCATTGGCATATCCTAGACATGATTCAAAGATTCTTTACAACAAATTAATGTTTTTTTGCGTATCATTTAATTCCAACACAACCTATTATTCAGCAAATATTAACACTCAAATACCATCCATTGACCCCTTCCTAGGTCAAATAAAAGCAAATTTGGAATTTCTGATTCAATAAATTTCCGACCTTCTTCCAAAAATCACGATTACCATAAAAGATATTCACGCAAATATGTTAAAAAGTATAATTATGAGCGAGATTTCTAAAAAAAATTGAGAACAGCTAAGGCTGTGTAGTCAAGCAGACAGGCATCCGTGAGGATGAGAAAGAAGAAATAAAAATGCTGCAATGATTTTGCGAAAATCACCGGAGCAAAAGTAACGACTTCAATTTTTTTTTCATTCTCCTCGTTGAGCCACCCTCAAGAGCTGAAGCTACTTACACTTATTTACTTAACATATACTCTCATAAATATGAAAACGGCAGTAAAAACAACAACGAAAAGCCATTTATGAAAACAAATTGCCATTTAAATAATATAACAAAAGGAAAAGAGCACAAATATTCAAATTCTTTACCCTTCAGCCTTTCTTCCTATTGCCTCGTGAATAATTTCACTTGCCTTCTTCTCTTTGTTTTTTTGCTCGTATATATATTTCTTTACATCGTTATAATAACTCTTTTATTTTCGCAACTAAGTCGCTTGTACTATACACGACTCACAAAGGCAGCGACACGGTGAAATATATGTAATGGCTTCTAAAGTATTACTCTTCCGCACATAATCTTGACTAACAAGTAAAAGATCTTTTTTCAAGTGATATTCATAATGTACAACAACCTTACATATATTTTATACGGGTTGAATGAAAAGTATTCTTCAAATGTCGACAAGTTGTTGTAGAATCTTCTTCATATGAGATTAATTGACTTCGTTTATTAAATTAACAGAAGAGGCGCAATAAATAAAGAAAAAAAACACAGAGAGAGAAGAGCAATAAGGCATACAAGGAAAAGAATTATATGATGATGATGGAGGGTACGAGAGACGGAATGATTGAATGAGAATCACGATTTTTGCTGAAACATCAAGTTATTTGTTTGATGATGCAAAAGTATTTGTAGTGATTTGATGATTTTTAACGCAATTTTTATGAAGGGGAATGAGCTTATTCATTGCTTTTTGACTAAATTCCTTGTGTCTAGTTGATAACGGAGGATTTCTCGAGAATGTACTGGATTATGTCTTGGGTTTTTTCTGTGACTCGAGTATTATCAGTGGAATTATAAGTGTGTTGTGTATTTTCATAGTCTGTTCTTAGTTGTTTATGGAAATTAGACGAGTTTTGTTTTGCATTCTACAGAATTTTGAGCTGTAAATACCAAATAAGTTGTCATATAAATATTGAACACTGTTCGAATGTTATTGGCCTTAACAATTACTTGCAAAATTCATTGTTTCATGCTCGTTATTTATTAATTGCGTCCGTGTGATCAATTGATGTAATTTTATTGTTTTTTCATCCGTTTAATTATTAAATTCAATTGAAAGGATGAAATTGAATTTTCAGGGGTCAGCTCCTTTTTTTAAAATAAATATATTTGAGGGGTCTGTCCCTTTTTTCCTGAGAAACTTCGATAACCCTTTAAAGTTCTTGTAAATTTAAGTTTCATTCTCATTGAAACTAAATCTTTAACATTATTAAAAAAAACTTCTTGTCATAAAAACATCTTCATTTCAAATTTCACGGAAACTCCATTTCATCCGCGGAAAATTGATGATGCAATCTTATTTATATTCATTATTATAGAACATTGAATAATTGAAATATAATTCGCAAGCTGACTGCTAATTAGGCTAAAGTTATGAATTATTTTCATTAATCATTCAGGTTTATGACTTATATAGCCACCTATAATGATCTCATTACTCGTTTCTGCCAATCTCTTGCTCTCCTCTCGTAAACAAATTTTTATAAATAAAGAAGAA